TGGCCTGGAATTCCATTCGTATTCAGATGTTATATACAAGAAGGTGCAGACGGGCGGATTGAGATGGTGGTATTTCCATTCCTTACGTCATTCAAAGTGGTCCTGTGACGGACGCCTTACGTAATTTTAATTTTGTTCTGTGACGACGGCTTGCCTCATCTTTAAGCGGTTGTGCGACGGACGCCTTACGCCATTTCAAAGTGGTTCTGTGACTATTCCTTGCCTCATCTTTAAGTGGTTCTGTGACGGACGCCTTACGTCATTATAATGTTGTTCTGTGACTACGCCTTGCCTCATCTTTAAGTGGTTCTGTGACGGACGCCTTACGCCATTTCAAAGTGGTTCTGTGACTACGCCTTGTCTAAACTTTAAGTGGTTCTGTGACTACGCCTTGCCTCATCTTTAAGTGGTTCTGTGACTACGCCTTGCCTCATCTTTACGTGGTTCTGAGAAGGACGCCTTACGCCATTTCAAAGTGGTTCTGTGACTACGCCTTGCCTCATCTTTAAGTGGTTCTGAGACTACGCCTTACGCCATTTCAAAGTGGTTCTGTGACTACGCCTTGCCTAAACTTTAAGTGATTCTGTGACGGACACCTTACGTCATTTCAAAGTGGTTCTGTGACTACGCCTTGCCTCATCTTTAAGTGGTTCTGTGACTACGCCTTACGCCATTTCAAAGTGGTTCTGTGACTACGCCTTGCCTCATCTTTAAGTGGTTCTGAGAAGGACGCCTTACGCCATTTCAAAGTGGTTCTGTGACTACGCCTTGCGTTATCTTGGTAAATGTTCCTATTTTTATGCCAGTGGTCGTTTTCGCTCTTTCTACTTGCACATACCGTTGCAGAATATGTGCCATATAGCTCGTTCTTGCCCTTCGAATGATGACGATACTTTGTCTTATATACTCATGGAAACGAATTAAAGAACACATGAACATACACATGTTCCTTTATTCATTTCCAGAATTTCACCCACAGTGCAGTACATACCTTGTGAAGAAACCTGGAAAAGATTAAAGGAACACTTGTACTTTCAAGTGTTCCCTTATTCGTTTCCATGAGTATATATAAGGAAGCGATAGGGTCGCTTAACAGTACAATCGTGACACCGAAGAAACGGGTTCCTGTCCTTTCACGGTTGAAGTGTGACGCCCACAGTGCCCATCACCCTCATGTGTCTGGAATAAAGCTGAAAGCAGCGTAAACACCGGCTTAATCACGTTTGTCATGTAACTCCTGGAACAGTTAACGACTAAGTTTTGTTCAGGTCAGCCATACAGTTCACAGATTGTCGTCGGTGTACTGTCTGGTAGTTACGTGCTACAACTGTAATTTACGGTCAGTTATTACTGGTGTTCAGCCATCATGTCGAAATGTCACTTTCTGAATATACAGTAACGACCAGGTAGGGAGTTCTGCTGGTCAGAAAATTGTAGGCTACAGAGACTTGTTGTTTGGTTTCACGGCGTCAGATTAGTATAGATTAGATTACCATATTATAATTGGAACTGATACTCCAAAGACAGCTGCACGCGCCATATAGTAGCAGTTCTTGGTACCCGAACTGCATGTATATACTTATAAATTAAAACCGTTCGAATTTGATGTTTCGCATCATTTACAGTGGCTTTTGGGAAAAATATCAAAGGTCACAAACGATTCTGATCATATGAAATAGCACCATGGATAAAGGACTATGCTTTCAATAATAATTATAATTGTCTGTCAGCTCCGCATTAGGGAACCAGTGGGCTCCGATTTTGGTGTCGTGGTAGTGAGTCGAACTCGGGCCTTTGGTGTGAGGATTGAACGCTTAAGACACAAGTGACCACTAGAGACCCTCTCGAAAGTGTGGTGTACTTGAGTAACTAAGAACAAGTTACTTCAACACCTATTTGAACAGTGTGTTGGTTGTATCACACCATGTCAGCGTGATGTGTGAGGAAAGTCCCGAGTGATGCTTGGGGCGGTGGAGTAGTCTAGTGGTTAAAGCGTTCGCTCGTCACGCCGAATCCGCGGGTTCGATTCCCCACATGAGTACAATGTGTGAAGCCCATTTCTGGTGTCCCCCGCCGTGATATTGCTACAATATTGCTAAAGCAGCGTAAAACTAAACTCGCTCACACCCAGAGTCATGCAGGTCGTTGATGGTTACAACTCTGAAACCAAGAGCCCGTCTATGGTGGGACAAACCTAGACACATAGTCGGACAAGACATTTGATTCGATAATATGATCAAAGTTGTCTGCGGGTCTGGTGAACAAAGCAAACTCAACAAAGCAAATTGTGACAGTCTTAAATGTTCAGCTTCAGTTTTCAGCCCTTGTCAGGGCCGTTTTCAGTACTGGTCGAGTAAATACTAAATATGCCTACACAAACTCGTATGTGTTCACCCTGGGTTAAGAACATATATGATACGCTTTCTCGGAATGTTGACGGCAATCACTGTTTCAGTGAGGAACCCTGGGCATAAACATGTTTCACACAGCCCCGCGCCGCAGGGGTGTAACTTTCAGCTTGTTGATTGTCCAAAAGGGTCAACAATCCAATAATCATGCGCTCCCAGAAGACTCTCTGACCACTGAAGTTCCTATAAAGTGACCTCTGGCAACTGCCATCAACTGTTTACAATCTGATTAGTTCCTGAATTCCCAAGAAGGAAATGTCAGATTGACGAACACAACTGTTTCGTTATGCCAGACACGAAATGCAGTTTAGCAATTGTAAACATCGATTGAATGCATTTGTAACCAAACACAAATCATGCTTGAGAGCATACCACCATCTATACATTTCTAAAGTATCTATTTTGTAAAATGATACCCTGTATTGAGTTCCTGAATTTAGTATTTGTTTGTGGCAAGTATGACATGCTTGTTTAAAATTTTAGAACTAAACTTGATTAATTTCAGCTTCTTTATACCAGTCCCAGGGCATGGGTTGGTTACCTTTTCAGCTGGTTCCTTTGGTTCTTTGTGTCATTTTATGACTAAACACACGGAACTTGCAGTTCTAGAACTAGGCTTCCGCCTCAGAAGGGATGATAGTGTGATAACTTCCATAGGTACATTCCTATAACGTTCACATAAGCGTTAGGGATACATGGGAAGAAACAAGGGATGGTCATTGGTCTTTGTCAGCCTCTCCTCACATGATCCATGAACATGACCTTTAAGTATTAGTTTTATCACGTGGTCATTTATCTAGCCTGTGCAGTATTGGTTTATGGATTAAGACGTAAAGCCATCTTCATTATAGTCTATTGCCACTGACCTCTGAGGAATAGCTTACAGCTAGTAGGTCCACGGTGAAGATGAGTGTTGGTTGAGGGTGTATAACGGGGCCCCTCTACAGTCGAAAGCTGTGATTGAGGGTTAATGATGATCTATGCTTCAAAACACTCTAATGTGATGAAATGATTGCCAACATGCACTGTGCTGACAATTATCAGTAATAGAGTCAGCAGCTCTGACAGAATGTCGAAGACAAGCCACATTGCGCGTATGTGTTTTTGTTGTGTGTGACATAGCGTTTGGCGGAACCTGGTGTGTGTTTGGGATTTGAGTTTCTCAGAGACATTTCTTGAATAGAAGCATAGGATTGACGACGCAGCTGGACATCTCGAGTGAATAAGGTTTGGCATTGGCAGTATGGCTAGGCACTGTGGGTTTGTGGATATGGATGGTGAAGCGGACTGGCAATTAGGGTTTGGTTTCACCTTGGTGATATGGATGGATTTGGGGAGAACTGACTGGTGATGTGGATTGGCAATTCGAGTGGGGTTTCAGGTTGGTGATATGGTTTGAGGTTGGGATAGGGGTTTACCATATGGAATCAAAGGTATAAATATCGATGGAGATTAAGTTTGGTTGAGCGGTTGAAGTTGCAAGTAGGGTTGGTTGGTTTAGGGTCATGAAGATCAGTTCAGGTGTTAGGGGGCTGCTGACCGTTCAGTCAGTTTGACGAACCGAATGTGTACGTGAGAATCACAGAACACCATCATGCATTCAGATGCTCATTTCACCAGGCTAGTTCTCGAGGATGTTTCATACCATATGCTTATGTCATTTCGTAGTAGTCTGAATCAGGAAAACCACCATCTGGCAAGATGAAAGCTTTCGAGGCCCACATACACCTATCAGCCAACTCACATTGTGTATGTCAAGAACTAGCTTACATCACTATATGTGATAATCATGGTCCAAGATAGAAGTCTTTCTCTTTTCTTGAAGTCCCGTTTGATGCATTAAGCACTATTCCAGAGCATAACGACAGGGACCAAGACATGGGTTTTATTGTATGCATGTGGGGAATCAAACCCGGATCTTCATCATGACGAACGAACGCTTCAACCACTAGGCTATCACATTACCCCGATTTACATACTTGATGACATAACTGACATGTGAATACACGCAGCAGACGGAAATATAGATAATGGGCCCTTATGGGTCATAGTTAAGTAAAAAAAATTAAATGCGTTTCCAGTGTTAGAGTTACCCGCCCTTTGACAGTAAAACTATTGGTGCCGAAAATGAAAATGAGCATGTCCTGGTACTTCACGTGTATTTCATGTTAGTAAGAATGTATATTTGTTGACGAGTTTTCTTGATATCGAGCTTTTCATGTTCTGCGTGCTTGGGCTGCGAATTTATCAAAATAATTGGCATACGTGATTGACAGCTTGTAACGATTTTCTGAACAAACGGCAGGAACAGACAGCATTAGATAAGCTTCACCTTAAAACAGTTTATTATTACTATTATTTTTCAAAACAACATCACGACTCTGTGTGGATAAATATAAGTTGTTATTGCATGTCTTGTCCAGAAAGCAGGTTTGAAAGCAAGATTAATAAACTTCCGTTCTTTTCAGTATGTCAACTCATTTGATAATATTTAGTCACGCCTAACTTCACTTAGGTGTGAAGAATCTTCCGTGTTGAATGTGTAAGTGTAACATCAGATGACATCCTAAATGTGTTTCCTTACTGTTGCAGGAAGAAGACGTCTACAGCCCCAATTGGACTTACCACTCATTGCCGGACAAATGGTCATGCCAGAAGTCAATTTGACTAAGCGTGCTAGTTAACAGCTTAGTTTCTCATCGACCAATCAAAGCACCCCAAGGCTTGATATCATCGCTGACTGCTTGTCCCCCTGTCATTATTGCGGACTCTGGACAAATGACGTCAACCGCTGCGTACTTCAACGCCACCGTCGGCAGTAACAACACGCTGTCAGACATGGGGGCTAACGCTTCTGAAGAAGTACCGACGGGCCTGCAGTTGTGGAGTTCATGGTACCAACCCATCCATGGATATGCTGCCCCTTTAGTGTGCATCTTCGGAGTTGTGGCAAATGCTTTGAACTTTTTTGTTTTGACAAGCAAAAATATGCTATCACCGACTAACGTTATTCTTTCGGGGTTGGCCGTGTCAGATGGACTGACAATGGCAGCCTACTTCCCATATGCCATACTTAACTACCACATGTTTGCTACCCGTCCGTCCCCGTTAGCAAACGCCCGTTTTCTTTTGTTCTACGCCATTTTCAGCGTCGTCGTTCACTCTATTTCAATATGGCTGACGGTTTCACTGGCACTCTTTCGTTACATATTCATACGCAATCCTCGACACGGAGCCAAATTGTGTAGTATTCAGAGAGCCAAGCTGACAATTGTGATCGTATCGGTAGTGACGACGATTGCATGTATACCGAACAGCGTGTCCTACGAGTTCACCACGTATGTGGAGAACAACGTTACGTCTTGGTACATCGATGTGAAGAAGGACACTCCTGCCTCAGTGTTCATCAAGAACCTCAATTTCTGGACACAAGCCCTCTTGGTAAAACTACTACCGTGTTTTCTGTTGACAATACTAAGCGTGTGTTTGATTAAGACAATGAAGGATGCGGAGAAGAGGAGGAAGAAGCTATTGAATAAGACCAAGAAAGCTGATGACGACAACAAACGGCAAGGGAAAACCAACAGAACGACACGCATGCTTCTCATTGTCGTTGCATTGTTTCTGTTGACTGAGATTCCTCAAGGAATCCTTCAACTGCTCAGTGGAGTCATCGATGGGTTTTTCAGAGAGGTGTACAGCCCGCTAGGGGATTTAATGGATATTCTCGCTCTCATCAACAATGGAATAAACTTTGTCCTGTACTGTACAATGAGCAAACAGTTCAGAGATACGTTCATTAAAATATTTCTAAAGGACATACTGAAGGGAGGCGAGAAAAGGACGGCTCTTGTGCAAACCCAGGCTACACGGGACTCTGATGTCTGAATGTACTGATGTGCCTCGCTCCGCTCAACTGTATGAACACCGTGCCTAGTCATTAAACATGTGCTGAGAAAGTGGTTAGAACCATGCGTGATATATGAGGTTATGGTGTAGATAGACATGCCGGCTGGCATACAGTTTGTCAGGAAACAGAACAACTAGGTTGACCCCTTACTGCAGATCTATTATGACGTCATAATTGACTGCAGAACTGGTTTCCTGACAGGACTGTGTTTCAAGTTGGCCTTACGCGGGACTGATGAGTTGCCTTGAGTGACTGTTTGTAGTTGGGAGAGAACACTTGTAAATAGTCCGTCAATTTGATCTGTGCATACGGTGAACTATGACAGAATGATGTAAATACAATTGTACTGATGACTATGGTATATATATAACAGTAATGTGACACCCTGCTACTTGTATAAATTGAGTAGTGAACGTCGGCCGTGACGACACAGCCGGATACTGCACCCGGCGACATCTTCCTCAACTGCCAACGGTGACGTTACGTTGCCTGGTGACGTTCATAGGGTGATGCGACAATTTAAATCACCATCATATGGTTTGTATATCTCGCTGGCTTGACCGAGACCTGCTTCTTGTTAATGCTGTATATACATATATCAAGTATATTCCTCTGTTGAGTGTTGTTATCATGCAAAACAGCTACCTTTACATGTGTCGTAGTGTGCACTTTATTTGTACTGACTTACGTAAGGTAAATAGTATTTTGTGATACCGTCCTTTTGCTTGTTTGTGTCCACAGTATGGCTATGCCGCTGGAGCTCCGTACACACAGCTTGTACATACAAATACTACACATTCATCATGCGAAAATGCAAATGATGTTTCACCATAATGACGGTAGTGACCAACGGTGGACGTTCACAAGCAACACATAACATACGACTGAAATAGCAAATGGAATAAATATCTCGTAACACAAGTCCTCGAAAGGTATTAATTGCATTCTAGGTCACTATGTAAACCGTAATGAAGAGGGTGAGATGGCACAGGGAACTGTTTAAAGCAAATTCTGAGTGCTATGACACCATGTGAACTGTAACGCACCTACAAAGACGAGGTCTCATATCAAATTGAACTGTTCAAAGGTACAACGGTAAATTCTGAGTGCTATGTCACAACGTGAACAGTAAGACACCTGCAAAGCCTAGGTCTGCATAATAAATTAAACTATTTAAATAACAGTAAACTCTCAGTGCTATGTCACAAGGGGAACTGTAACACACCTGCAAGAAAGAGGCTGCATGATCACATGAAACTGTTTAAAGCTAAACAGTTTATTCTGAGTGCTATGTCACAACGTGAACAGTAACACGCCTGCAAAGCCTAGGCCTACATATTAAATTAAACTATTTAAATAACAGTAAACTCTCAGTGCTATGTCACAACGGGAACTGCAACGCACCAACAAGCAAGAGGTGACCTATCACTTGAAACTGATTAAAGCTATAACAGTAAAATCTGAGTGCTATGTCAAAACGTGAACCTAGCGCACCTGCAAAGACGAGGGTTGCATATTGTCTAAAACTGTTTATATTTTTAACACTAAAATATGGGACGTATTCAGCAATGCTGCCCCACGTCAGTAAGTCTATTGAAATGGATTTAAACGTCCTGCTCAAGTTTACAACACTGGCGTTTTTTCTGTGCGTGCGCGTGTCTGTGTGAGTGACTGCTTGTACTAGTCCTGAGTTATGCCTTTATTATTTACCATTAACGCCGTGGGACTGGTTAACAGCAAGTAACACATTTTTATGTCTCTTGGTATTAACTATGTGATCGATCTACGAATAAAATGTGCTTAGGGTAAATGTTTGAATGATTGGAATCTAACAGGCTAGAACTGCCAATTGACCCGATTCCGGTCCTGCTCCAGCATTCGCTGTACAGAGTTTCGCCCTTCGATGGCGGTAAAACACCCATTATCGATGTTTCGAATCCCGTCGCTCTGAATATTTTTCTAAGTTTATAAGGGCTTTTGGATTTAAGGAAAGTGGTAAGCGCCCGCAGGATCCATCACTTGTTCTTTCCTCCCACATCAACCTGGGACACCCTGATAAAATTGAAATACGATCTCACTCTCTCATTCACCTACTCGCTCTCTCAACCAGTGAATCGAACAGTCAAGGGATTTTACTGGCATATGGTGGTTTATGGTACTGGTGTACATATGGACGTTTAGGTATTCTGGTACATATGGACGTTCATAGTGTTTCGGTACATATGGATGTTTAAGTATTCTGGTACATATGGGCGTTTACAGTATTGTGGTACATAGCGACGTTCATAGTGTTTCGGTACATATGGTCATTTAAGTATTCTGGTACATTTGGACGTTTAGGTATTCTGGTACATTTGGACGTTTAGGTAGTCTGGTTTTGGACGTTTACATTATTGCGGTACATATGGACGTTCATAGTGTTTCGGTACATATGGACGTTCATAGTGTTACGGTACATATGGGCGTTCATAGTGTTTCGGTACATATGGGCGTTCATAGTGTTTCGGTACATATGAACGTTCATAGTGTTTCGGTACATATGAACGTTCATAGTGTTTCGGTACATATGGACGTTCATAGTGTTACGGTACATATGGGCGTTCATAGTGTTTCGGTACATATGAACGTTCATAGTGTTTCGGTACATATGAACGTTCATAGTGTTTCGGTACATGTGAACGTTCATAGTGTTTCGGTACATATGGACGTTTAGGTTTCTGGTACATATGGACGTTTAGGTATTCTGGTACATATGGACGTTTAGGTATTCTGGTACATATGGACGTTTAGGTATTCTGGTACATAGGTATTCTGGTACATATGGACGTTTAGGTATTCTGGTACATATGGACGTTTAGGTATTGCGATACATATGGACGTTCATGTTATTACGGTACATATATGGACGTATACAGTATTGCGGTACATGTATGGACGTTTACAGTATTGCAGAAAAAAACCGGCCGTTTATGATATTGCGGTACATATTGACGCTTACAGTATATCTGGACGTTTACAGTATAGCAGTCTATATGGACGTCTATAGTATAACGTTTATGGCATTGCGGTACATATAGTCGTTGACAGTATTACGGTTCATATAGCAGTTTACAGTATTGTGGTATATATGGATGTTTATGATAATTCGATACATATGGACATTTGTGAGCATGAACTATGATACATGGAAAATGTTACGAAGATTGAGCTCAGTGCACTACAAGCCACATTGTAGCTTATCTGAAGACTTCTCCTGCATAGATTTTACAAATTACAAGGTCTGCGACGCTGGAAAATGACTATGGACTGTTGAATATGAGAAGGTAAATGTAGACAGACGGTAATGACATAATATCGTCTATGTGTACAACACTGCTATTTTACAAGCAAAATCGTCTGAAAGAAAGATCATAGATATCACATCTGAGTCAGACAGAAAATCGTCAGTTATTACCAGAATAAATATCCTGCTGTGGGGAGCAAGAGTCATGTTGTCTTACCTTGTGGATTTCAGATGATCAGAAATCAGCCTATCTTCCCAATGATTTTCTTCTATCTAAGGAGAACTAATTTCCCGAAGTGCAGAAAGATTAATGATTTTTCCGTCACAAACACAGTCTTGATGCATAATAGTCTCGTAAAATTACGGACAGCTGTATTCAGAATGCAAAGGATACCATATACTGCAGAGGTAAAGTGATGCTTCATGGTAACGTTAATGAGAGTAGATCTATGTTAATAGTGAAGATTATATACGAGGAAACAACAGTTGTTAACACGGAACATTACTGAAATTTGTTACAATCATAACTACATGTTTTTTCCTTATTAATTTGTGCATTAACAAATTTTATAAATGACGCTAGCGAATTATTTTCGATGATTGATCGGTGGTAATGAACTTATCATCAATTATGAGATTTTAACCAATTCCCAACACTATCGAACACACATACGAATTTAAGCAAATATCCAACGTATTCATGTAATCAAGACTTCTTCAGGCAAGGGGCTTGCATCACTCAAAAAGAAAATTGCAGGTTGATAATTCATACTGGAATGACGTCATGGACATTTTGGGTAGATTTTAGAGAAATCAGCATATTAACCCCAGACATGTAAGTGACGTTATATTTAAAACAACATTGCTTGATCACCAATTCCGCGAAGGAGATAATTTGATGAAGAATAATTATAACAAATGTATCTGATACTTGTTGATTAGCAGGTTTCACTCCTTTTGAGGATTCAAGCAAAGGCGCCTGCTTAGACTTTAACAACATTTTTAATATTATAATGCTATCAACTGAAGACGAAAGTACTATAATAACTTATGTACATCTTTGAATACACAATGCCATTTAGAAAGTGGTCAGACACAACATAACAATATCTCAATACAATGGTGTCAGCTGCTAAAAACTATACCAAATATACACATTTCTGACACAGCAATAAACAATAGCTTCTTCTTATGATCACGGCCTTTCAACTGTATGTGACAAGGGGGGGAACTGTACTTCCCAACGTTACTTTTACTTTGGAGAAATTATCCTTCAATACAGAACATGTGCAAAGGATATCAGGTTACTGGAATTTTAAAACAAGAAATAATCTACCCAAGAATTTACCAACTAAAGACGAAATTACTTTATGGTGACTTATGTACATCTTTGAATAGACAATGCAATTTAGAAAGTGGTCAGATGCAACATAATATTATCTCCATACCATGGTATCAATTGCGGAATACTTGTACCAAATATATGCATTTATGACACAGGAATAAACAATAGTGTAGATGCAAGAACACTACTCCAAGTCATTGGCTAATTATCGTTGACATGACTCGATCCATCGATGAGGTTTAAGAAACTAAATAAACTAAATGATTCTTTTAGCTGATACGTTAATTACAGTCATTTGAATATAACTTTCCTGAAAGTAAGAGTTCCTCCCGTTCCCCCATCCCAAATAA